AATCTAACCACATTTTCATACACCTAACAACATAAACTAATTACCAAGCCATCAAACACCTAAATCATTCAAACACACTCAAACACCTAATTAACACATTCCAAAACTAACAACCGAAATTAACATAATCCAACCTAACATAAAAAATAATCAAATCTAATATCAATGCAATAATAATAATCAAAACTCACATCAACACTAATCATGCGAAAACCTATTTACCCATATTCACATATCCAAACCAAAATCCAAATTACAAACCAAATTCCAAAACACACAATCACACATAAATCCAACCTTATAAAAACTACCACAATCCAAATTCCAAATAATTATATATCTCTAGTCAAATAAAATACTAATCAAATTGACATTTCAAAAACAACCCAAATTTAACAACAAAACCCAAAAGGAAAAAAGAAACAATAATCACCAAAAGAAGCCCAAATTCATAACCAAAATTTACATAAAATGTAACGCCTCAACCCCCTACAGGGCCGACCTCGCAAAACTCCTGACAATTGTTGTCATTAAAAATGACCATGTCGTTGCCAAATGTATTCCATGTCATTAAAAAACTTGTGTGTGCCAGCCATGTCGTCACTAAAAGTCCCCAAAAATGTTCGATTTGACTGCCTAAAAACAAGCTTTAGTGACGATTTCCAGGTCTGCTAAATTTATTTTAAATCTTTTCAAGGTCGTTACTAAAAGGTTAAGCTTTTCAAGAAAATTTCCAGGTATGCTAAATTTATTTTAAATCTTAAAAATATTGAAATTTTCAGTGAAAATTTCTAAGTCCGGAAATTTTTTTTTTTTTACCTATCGTCGCTAAGAAGCTCACCATCTAGCGCGCAATGGCAGCAAAAAGATGTATCAACGAGAGGTCGCCGCTAAAAAGTTGATCGTTCTGACATAAATTTAGCGACAACATATGATCACTATAAATCTTCCTGAGTCATCATAAAAAATAATTGACGATCTAAATTGTCAAATGAACGACTACCATTTTTAGCGATTACATGTCATCATTGTTTGTTACTTTTAGTGAAATGCACCCCTAATTTAACAACGGAGGGTACTCCTCCAAATAGTGACACTATAACAAGATTTGGCCATACATAAATGACTTAAAATGAGCCAGATCCCTCCAAATAGTGACACTATAACAAGATTTGGCCATACATAAATGACTTAAAATGAGCCAGATCGTAGTCCTATAATTGACCTTAAACACACAACTCAGACTAAGAGTGGTGGAGAAACCACTCTCTAGCTGAGAGAGACACCATAAATTGAGAGAGGTGGAAAAACTACTCACTAGCTAGAAAACACACTAGTAGATGAGGAGACCATCAATGTTATTACAATAAAAACAAAAATAAAAAGCAAAAAAAAAAAAAAATACACAAACCCATAACCCGCACAGAAGAGACTTTGTTGGAGATAGTCTCACCACGAGCAAGCAACTTCCCTGAGTCAACGGCCAACAAACACCCTCAAAAGATTGTGTAAAACCACTGAAAACCTCCTTCCTTCAGGGGTCAAAACTAAGGAGATGTTGCCTCCCCTAATTGCGTGAAACACATCACCTTATAGATCGTCTCAAAGTTAATAATTTTAAATATATTTTAAAAATGATATGGAAATTGCAAAGTAAAAAAAATTGTTATTAGTGGGGACGTGCCTAAGGCACACCTCCTAGGCTAGTCTACAATGAAAATCAAATTATATGCGAAAGTGTAACTTCTCCATTATAATCTTTGTTGATGAAAAGTTCGATGTAAAATCTTTGAGGAAAGCATATTTTTTTTCTTCTCCCAATCTCATTTAATTTAGCTGTAGGCAGTTGTTTTTTAATTTTAGGAAATACAAGTGTTATTTTTTTTTTTCACTTTTTTTATCACTTTCTACATTCACTATTTGACACATGGACTCTACTATCTCATTTTCTACTTAAATTGTAATATTTCATATTAGTAAAGTCCACATTTCAAATAGTAAATATAGAACGTGACAAAAAGAGTGAAAGGTTTTTTAATTTTAGGAAAATTTTCTTATTTTCAAGTATTTTTTTAAACAAAAATCTTGTGATCAATATTAAATTTAAAGTCACCACCATCTAAAGTCACCACCAGGTTAGGATTAGTGTCTGAGTTAAATAGATGAATTGCGACGGAGTTGTGGTCGGACCATCGTCAAAACCACCATTTGCTTCAAGCTAATGAGCTGCCATCAGTACTAAGGTCGAGGCGGAGAGTATGATCGAGTGTAGGCCAACGGGTTGGGACTGGTACTGGGATCGGTTAAACAAGTTTAAATGTACTTAAAAAATTAGGGATCAAATGTATTTATGAAAGGTTTAACTGTCAAAATATAATTGTAAAAGTCCCATGAGTGATCAAAATGTAATTTTTTAAAAAAATTTCGAGCAAAAATATTATTTTTAAGATTACTTACTCTTTTTTTGTTTAAAAAAGATATAAAACCATATATATATATATATATATATATTACCAGAGGGTTTTTCGGGTTTTAATTTTTCTTTTCAAAAAGAAAAGGTAACTACCAAATACATTTTTTCGCTTAAAATTGAAAAATAAATAAAAGAACATATTTTTCTCAATTAAAAAGGAAAAAAATTGTTGAATTTAATCTTAAAGTACATATGTCAGGATTTTTATTCCTTACTCTTAATTAATATTTTTTTATTAATATAGTTATTTAACTAAAAAAATATTAAATAATAGTAAAGAGTAAAAATCCAAACCTAAAGTATTTATCTCATTTACTTATTAAAAAATATAAAATGAAAACATTTATGTGATGTTTGTTTCAAGAGTTCGTCCCTGGTTTTGAATCATAGTTCTTGGTTTTCTATAGTGTTTTTCTCTCACAAAAAATTTAAATTTTAAAAATCAGAATCATGAATCATGATTCTGAATCCATAAACCAAACGTTTCATTAGTAATGAGCCCTAATTGTTATGTATCAATGCAGATAATCAAATTAACTGGTACATACGGGCATTGTTCTTTTTAGTAAATTGATAATCAGGATCGAATGTTCCAAATCCTTACACAATCGCTCTCTAATTCTTTAACAAATACCATTTTTACTGTTCTTTATTTTCATCTTCGTTTTCAAAATATTTGTTAAACAAACACGGTTTGCGTTTTCATTTTCGTACCACAAAAGACGTGTAAAAACGTTTTCAAAAATAAATAAAAATCAATTCTAACTACACCCATAATTTCTTATTTTGGACCATTTTTTTTATTTTTAAAAAAAGACTAAGAGAAACACGACATATATCAACCATTTCTAATATTAAAACCGTAGTGAGAGAGATAGAGAGAGACGGATAGACAGAGACAGGTAGAGAAAGTTATGACTTACAAGAATGATTTTTAATTCCCAGCGATCAATAATTTTTTGTTCGGGCGATATTGGCTTTTAAGTTTGCTGTGAGCTTTTAATTTGACCGCCAAGATATTCAGTGGATATTCTGGTAGACATTTTCAACCTTTGAAAACTGTAGCGGATATATATCGATCAAGAGATTTTGTATACATGAGAAGTCATTTTCTGTCTCCATATGTCGCACTTCAATAAGAGCGTCAGCATACATTGTTTTCGTATAGTACCACGTAACGTTATAAAATAGGGTGACTCAAATTTATGATAGGAGTGCTATCAGTATCAAGTGCCACCGAAAATAATGCTTCAAACATTGTTGTTCAAAAGAACGTTGCTAAGCTGGTCAAAATAAAAATATATATGCATAAATAATAAAACATTTTAGTATCTTTTCAAAACTTAAAGCTATTTAATTTTGGGAATTTTATCGGTGTGTCAATAAACTGATAGGTTAAATTTTTTGTCCGTCAGATCTGTATAAAATCACATAAAAGTAAAAAAAAAATATGCAGATCTAACGGTTAGAAAAATATAATCTACCGTTACGTCAGACATACCAGAAAATCTCCTTTATTTTCGTTTTTTAGAATTTAAGTCTTTTAGTTCCTTGAGAACACGAAAGGGGAAGAAATAAATGAAAAGCTCCTTCAATTATACTCTGGATCTCTTAGAGCGGCCGGTCAGATGGTGGCTACAATAAGTTGTGCCTCAAAGTGTAAAACCACCGCAACTGAGTATAGATGAAACATCTTTTTGTGGCAGCGAAAACAGAGGTTTTGGGGAAAATGGTAAATGTGGTATTTTCTTTTCTAGCATAATGCAGGATAGAGTTTTTCTGGAACATGTTTAGCCAAAAAAGATTTTACGAAATAGGCCAAAAAAAAAAGTATGCATAAATAGGGTACATTTATTCTGGAGAAAACTATTTTGCTCTATTAGTAGAAACCGTGTTTTAACCGTTAGAAAATATTTTGAATGGCATAATGGAGTATAGTTCACTGTCGTGGGTTATAAATTATTAATGTGGACATGCATAGATTTAACCGTTAAAAAACTAATTTAACGGTTAAAAATAACAATTTTTATTAATGGATTAAAAATATATGTACTACCTTAAAAGTTCTCGTATAAATAACTTTATGTCTATGCCTGCAAACACAGTTTTTTTTTTCCATTTTTATACCATGCATTTTGTGTTTATAAAACACCATATATTGTATTTAGACTATTAAAATTTTAGAAAATAGTAGTCAATAACAGATTTATGAAACTAAATTAAGTATATAGTCGATTTTAAAACTTTTTAAAGTAAATATTAGATTACGATGTAAATGTTTCTTTTATGACTGGTAAAAAAAATAATTTATATGGTAAAAAATATTTATTTACATGAAAAAGAATCTTTTTATCCGTGGTAAAAGAAAACCTACATGGAAAAAAATATTTATTTTGACTAGCTATAAATGAAACATGTACACGATAAATTGCTAATTAATTTAAATAATTTTAACATATGTAATTTACTTAATTCAATTTCATAAATTAATTTTTTATACAACCAGATGGACTACATTCATAAATTAATTTAAGGAAGATTAAACAAATATAACAATGTACTTCTACTTTGCGTCTATGTACCTAACAGCCACTGGATATGGATTTGAATTACGCATAACAATCAGTTATCACGCATAATACATCTTTCCCTGACCCTAAGAAGCAAGCCACCTCTCATTCTTAGAGTCAAAGAAAGTACATAGTCCGGAGTTTTTCCCTTGTCTTGTACCTCAATATGAAACTTCTCAATCACAGTCGCTGCAATGGATTTCATCTGAATATAAGCCATATCTTTTCCGAGACACATTCTCGGACCGGCATGAAAGATCGGAAACCGAAACGGGCTCTCTTGCCGGCAAATACCATTTTCCAACCATCTTTCAGGCACAAATTCAAGACAATTTTTTCCCCATATGTTCTCCATTCTCCCCATTGCATATGTATGGTAGGTGACAAACCAATCTTTGCCTACAAATGTCCCATCCGGCATAACATCATCATTTCGGCACACTTTAGTATCAGCCGGTACCGGCGGGTAAAGTCTCATGGATTCCGAAATCGCAGCGTGCAGGTAGTGCATGTCTCGGAGCTCATTGAAATTATACGTTTCGCCGATATCTTTCCCGTTTCGAGTACGAATCGTTTCAAGCTCGTTCAAAATCTTCTCCTCTATGTCCGGTCTAGAGGATAAGATCCAAAAGAACCATGTCAAAGCCGAAGACGTAGTGTCTCGCCCTGCAAGAATGAAGCTAATAATGATATCTCGGAGAAACTCCGGCGAGCCGTTATGGCACGCCATAAATCGGGACAGTAAATCTTCCTCGGTGTTTTCCTCTTTGTTCTCCATTCTCCGCAGTATGATTTCATCTGCAAATTGATGAACAGTCGCGATGCATTCTCTCAGCCTTTTCTCTGACCCCACGTTGAAAAACCTCTTAATCTTCCAAAGATAAGGAAAAGCGTACCGGAACCTCCCAGAGCTAAGCGTCGCCGCCTCCTCAAAAGCCTTCATGAATTCTCCGGTGTCGTTTCCGAAGAATCCATCGCCGGCGAGACAACACGGGTCAACATTGAAAGCCAATTTGCATATATTATCAAAAGCAAATCTCTCAAGAACATCTTGAATGTCCAAGACCTGACCAGTTTCCACGGCTTTGTTCAGACCCGGGACAAGCCTGGTCTTGATCTCGACGACGACATTTTCCATGACGAAGTTTCTCAACGACTTTGTGTTGAACTCGTAGCTCGCCGTCTTCCTCTGAACCTTCCAGATCTCGCCATCGGAGTTGAAGATTCCTTGGCCGAGGAAATTGCCGAGGACGGAGACGAATCCGTCGCCTTTCGGGTAGTTCTCGAAGTTAGTCTTGAGCATGTACTCCACGTTTAACGGATTCGCGGTTGTGACTCCTCGTACGTTTCCGAGACGTCGGGCTACGGCGGTGTTTGTCGGCGTTTGGGACAGGACTTCCGTGAGCCAGTCGAGCAGTCTGTGACGGTTACTCAAGAATCCCGGTAACATTCCGACTATTGGGTAGATTTTGAAACCGGTATTGATGTGCTTCTTCTTTGGGCTCCTATGAAAATAAGAGTAGAGATAGAGAGAGAGGAAGAGAATGAAGAGCAACGCTATGGTGGTGAAGATTTCCATTGGAACTAATGGAGTAAAAGAGGTTGAAAAGATTATGTGTAATTTAAAAACGCGCTCATATATAAAGACGTTTCAACTAGAAGCAATGAAGAATAATATAATTTTTTGGTATAAAGAAGAATAGTTTAATTAAGTTATAAGAGGAAACGTCGTTGCATACTTTTCACCGTTTCAAAAAAAAGAAAAAAGAAAAAAAGAAAACACGTCAAAAAAATATAGCTATTCACACCAAACCAGTATAATTTCCGTATGCAATGACGTTATATTTTCTTTCTTTTTCTTTTTATTTTTTTCCTTTGAATTAATTACAAAACTCCCCTTAATTACGTCCTGACACTTTGTTTTCAATCTTTAAAACATAATATTTATTCTCTTGAACAATAAAATATTAATAAAAAAATTCTGTTAAATTTTTAACTAACATTTAATTAATTATTTTAATGATATTTTAACTAACATTTAATTAATTATTTTAATAATATTTTAATAATTCTATAATTTAAAATTTAATTTAAACTTAAAATTAATTTAAATTAAAACTTTTAATTACGAAACATCCATACCTTTTTTATTCGTACAAATAAAAATTTATCGGGCTGTTTTGAACTTTTTTAGGTTCAAAATAGTAAATGAAAAACAAAAATCATTTTTGTAAGAAAAAGAGGAACCGTGTTTGCGAGGTGGGGGATTTATTGTGTCATTGGGAGTGAAAAAGATTTTTTTTTTATTTTTTTATTATATTATATATAAACTAGACTAAAAAAATTAAGATGCATAGATAAAATAGTAATTATACTCTAAGTTGTTTATTAATAATTAATATTTACGTGATACGAGTCAAAAATTATTAAATTTTTTAACATATGAAACATTTTTATTAATATTTTATAATTCAGGAAGAATAAATTATTATATTTTAAAAATTAAAAAGTAAAATGTTACAAAATGCGTAATGAGAAATTTTTGTAATTAATCATTTTTTTTTTCTTTTTTTCCCTCTGCGAATGAAAGATCTTCTTAGGTGGAAACTGCGGATGAATTGTCTAGATTACAGACTTGGTTTAGAAGAAAAGCCTAAAGCCCATTCAATTATTGACAAATAGGACGCTTCTCTGTTCATATTGCATTGAAGGAATGCTAATCGGACTTGACTACCGTCCGAGATAGGACTTGACTACCGTCCCTCAATTTGAAAATTAGGAATTTGTCCCTCAGGTGCCATCGTAATTGACTAAAAGATTAGAGCATTTTTTTTTTTTTTTTTGTATTAAGTCATAAAGGTTAGTATTTTAAAAATCAGAAATTTTTTTAAGGATATAATAATAAATGATTGTCATATACACCTGTTATATATAATTATATGAATAATATTGATAGATATATCAATAAACGACAATCGTTTTTAATATAAATAATAATACGCATATTTATCTTTTTTACTATTAATATTAGTCGTTTAATTATTACATATTGTCTTTTTTAAAAATCAATAATGTTATCGTGAACGATTATATTTGTCATATTTTTATTTTGATGGACACATGCAGTCTGAATATTTACTTGAAGCAGTACATGACAGTCGTTTATTATCATATGCTTAAAAATGATTTCTAATTCTAGAAATATTAACTACCTGCCATGACTCATTCAATCCTTCTAACGGTTACGATGGGAGAAATCTCCCACATATATGTGTTGGCGGACCACAGAAAACGCCCAAGAGATAACTGATTATTTCGAATAAGAATTACACAATCTGAAAAATTTAGAAACCACGTTTTAACATATATTCCATTTTCAATTGTATTAACGGTAAAACAAGATATTTATATTCAAGTAAATTACTACATCGGTAGAGATATGTTCCAGTTTTTTTAAATAGAGTGTTGGAGTCTTAATCTATCTCAACGCAAATAAACTAAAACTCTCTTTTCTCTCTCTAAACTCGTGCATTTGGTTGGTGGATTTATGTCATGATTTGAATTATAATTCGTGGTTCGTTATAGTATTTTCTTTCACAAAAAACACTCGTAAATTAAAAATAATTTTGAAACGTAATTTTAAATTTATGAACTAAACATCCACTATAAAAAACACCGGTAAAGGGATTTGTTCCCTGATTCGAATCATGATTCGTGATTCGCTATAATATTTTTTCTCATAAAAAATACACGTAAATAAAAAATAATTCTAATAACATGGTTATAATTTATGAACCAAATTTCAATGAGTGCGGTGAAGAAATGCCAAAAAAAATTCAATTTCCTTGATGCCACTAGTATTTATAGATGTCCTTGAAGTTCATCTCGGTCTTTCTTTTCTGTCCACGTCAGCCTTACTCTTTAATTCCTCGAGTATTTCATTCTTTGCCACGTCGTTCTCTCTTATTGTTCTGAAGTTGCATTGATTTATTCCATTCATTATTACCCTGAGAACTTCCAAATTCCTGAACACTGTCGTTTTCTCCTCCTTCAAAACGACTTTGTTTGGTGGCTACTCATAATTGTCCTCACCTCAGCCCCCTTTTCCTTATAAATTTGGAAATTCTTTCTAGATTTAAAAGGAAATGATTCTAAAAGATGCTTTCGTTCCACACAATCTTGAGTCTCAATTTTTCCTAAAAGTTCTGATTTTCTTAATCCTTCATCCTATCAATTTCTCTTATCATGTCGAGCTCTAATTCAAAATTCAAGGCTATTCGACTCAAGTGTCAGATTCCAGAGAATGTTCTACTTTCCTATTTCCCTAGCTCTTGCAACCTAACCACTACCGAAAGGCATTGATCATCAAGACGGAGTCTTCTCGCTTGAGCATCTTCATGTTCTTCGATTCTCTCTCCCTTCTCTTATGCTTCAATTTTTCTCTGCCCAGCAGATTTGCTCTTGTCAACTTTCTCCCATGGGTTTCTGTGTCTTGTCTTGCTTTTGTTTAGCTAATGAGATTGAAGGTATCAAAATATGTGCTACTAGAGAATCTGTTAAGCTTTTGTCTCTTTGCTAATTTGGTTACAACATCTTTTGCTGAGCTGTCTTTCTTTCATTATTTCCGTTGTGAGTTTGTTACAGTTTTGCTATATGTATTGAACCAGAGGTTCCGTTTCCAATCAATGAAATGAGTTAGAGCATTTTCATTCCTTTCCTCTTCATTTTCTAATATGGTATCAGAGCGATTTTCTTCCTCTGTTTTCTGATTTTTTCCTTCTGTCAATATGGCCCGTGGAGGTCAAAACAATAACAATAATCATTTTCAACCCATAAGTATCGGTTCTCCTGAGAGCACAGTAGCTCAAGAGTCAAGTCCAATGGAGAATCCCAACAGCCCCTTCTTCCTGCACAACGGTGATCATCCCGGCATGATTCTTGTTTCGCATCTTCTTACCGGCTCTGATAAGTGCACAAATTTACACTTTTAATGTTCATAATTGTCAAATTATCTTATCAAATTTGTGATTTTAATTTTAAATATTCCTGAATTTAGAGGATTTAATTTTAATTAGATTTATTTTATTTTTCAGGTATTTGAAAAAAACAATTGGATTTGGGCTAGATTACTAAGCAAAACCCAAAAGTTGAACCCCAGATAAGCCCAAAGCCCATTAGCCCATCTGAGGCCCATCAGCCGTAAGCCAGCCGCCGAGCCGAGCCGATTGGAGCCGAGCCACGCGAGTCTCACCAGCGTGCCACGTGTCATCCTCTGCCGCGCCGCAGGTCCGTGGGACCCAGCTGTCCCCGCGCATACGCGCGCTTGGCGCGCACAGCCGTCCCTCCGGGCGAGTTCTTCTCACGGGTGCGTCAGGCATGCTTCTTCTTTCTTCCACGTGGGTCCCGCGTTCCAGCATCCCTCCAATCGCCTCTCGCCTCTCGCCACGTGTCCAGTGGGGTCCAGCTGCTCCCTCGCGTACACGCGCTTTGCGCGCACGTTCTCTCTCCGGGCGAGTTCTTCTCCCGCGCGCGTCAACTCTTCCTCCACGTGGGCCCAGCTGTGCAGCACATCTTCTCCCGCGCGCGAATCAACTTGCGCCACGTGTCCATATGGGACCCAGATGTCGGCCACTTACTCCTCTCAGCCTATCGTCGCGCGACACGTGTCCCACCTCTTCAGCCATGAGCGTTTATGATAGTTTTTTCTCCCCCATTATCAGCTTATATTCCCAAGTTAAGCTTGTAACTTCTAATCATTGGGATCCGTTTTTGTTGATAGTTTTTCTTAAGCATTCTCAAAACTCTATAAATAGAGCCATTGTCAAGGTGATTGGGGTGGATTTTGAGAGCCTAAATTCTCACACATTTTCTCTTGTTTTCTTGTTCTTATTCTCATATTTTCTTTTTAAAATTTTATGGGAATTATGTGCAAGTTAGGCTAGAGTATTTAGGTGAGGCTAGAGATGATCCTATATGTGTAGTGAACTTATTTGGATTTTTGATTCTCTAATGGTTTGTAAGTTTTATACATTTGAGTAAATAATTTTCTTTTATCATATTTATTCCTCTTATCAATATATTTTATTGCCAACTTTCATATAAATCTAGTCAAGCTCTTTTTATGTGATTGTTGCATTATATTATATATTGATAGGTATTGTTTTATGAGTAGTCTTTTACTGCAATATTGTCAACGGTATATTATTGCTCTTAGATTTCTCATAAGATAATTTTTTTTTTCCTAATTCTAAACGTTAGAATTTTATTTACTCGAATACATTTTTAATTCATATGTTTTTCAAATATTTATTTTCTAATTGATTGTTTAGGATGTGAAACTTTCAATTGAGTCAATTTATGAATCAAAATCCAAATAGGTGAACAAAGCATATGGAGGATTCTCAAAGCCTTACCACTTTTTATTATTGAATTTTCTCCATTTTAAATTGTTCAAAAAACCATCAAAAACACTCATTCATTTTCTTTGTTTAATTGCTTATTTTTCTAACGCTTTTTATTTGCTAGTCATTTCTTGTTCAATTTAACACCTCCTCGTGGGATCGACTGTTCAAATTGTACTACAATTG